AGAGCAGGTGGAAGGTCGTCAGGACCAGCAGCGCGATGGTGCTTGAGTAGAGAAATGCATTCGGACACTTCTGAGACTGAAGGCGGCTCCATGTTTACGGTCCACCTTTCTGTTGAAGGCCAGGTTTCTGGAATGGAGGTGGCAGATGGCCAGCTGAACTGCTGCTCGAAGTACTGTGCCCAGCGGTCTAAACGTTCTGCTTTGTTGCATATCAGGGAGCCATTTTTGTCCCTGATTATTTCGCTGACAAGAGGTTTCCGGGGACCAGTCGAACGAATCAAGTGGAACAATTTGCGCACGTTTCCGGCATTCTTTGCATCTTTCATTTCTTCGACCTTTCGGGTCCACCAAGCTTCTCGGTCTGCACGGACACTCAGTTTCACCTGGCGTCGGATGATGCGCCAAAAGCTAAAAAAATTGAGCGCGTTGATCTTCAAAATACCGTGTTATTGCCGGATGCTCTCTCTAAGGGCGTGCTCAGGGCTGCTGGGATCGATCTCGAGTGGAGGGCTTTTGTCGCCTTGTAGGAGTACTGGCAATACATGCCAGACTGTATGTCAAACATATCCTATTCTGGCGAAATTCGCTCTTTCGCAGACTGGGTTAACATGGAGCGCATATGAATCTTGTCTGAATCTCCCTTCAACTGAGTATGCTGATTGGGCTGTCGAATTATCTTCAGCAATTCTCTAAGTAGTATGTTGTTCGAAGAAAAAAAGGCCATATTTTGTTATCTATCATGTTGGCTTCAGTAGTTGCTACTCATTTATTGTTGTTGACACTGATGATGGGGCAACGTGTTTCATGTTTTACCTGCGTGTTTTTTCTCCGACAATTGAGACAACACGAGCACTTGTATGCTATGGATATCTGTTTCTAACACATGCTGATTGCAATCAGACGGGTGCCGTGACTATCCCTCCACACACGCTTTTCTGTCTGCAGCCACATGTGGTCTTTGAGCCAGCACCACTGAATGGGAGCTTCGATTGGAGATCGGCTGTGTTTACATCTTTTGTTCGAGTGGTGTTATTGTCTGGGCCTCGGGAGATTGACAGCACTTCGTCTGACGCCATTGGAGAAAGTAGTTTTGTTACACCCAGCATCCAAGCTGACGTTTGGGCTTAAAAGTGCGAACTCAGCCAAAATTTTTATCGACCGTTTGGTCTTAATGATAGGGCATTATGGTATCCCAAAAGAATACTTGGTTAACTGTCAGAATGAGTCACTATGGAATAATCCAAGCTTTGGGACTTTCATGGTATCAAACTTTTCTAGTTGGATACCAAAACGGCAAAAAGGCTCACTCACGGGAGAGGCTAGTTAGACGAATGCAGTAACGACAAACAATGCCGTCATCTAGTGATGTGTATCCACTTGCACGCAGAAAACGTTTGTCTGTTTTAACAATAAACCCTCTGTTCATCCGCAAGCAATTCAGTTATGAAGTCTTTCAAAGGAAGTTGTCAATCAAAACAGGGTAGTCAAAGCATTTGTCTTTCCGGGGCTTGAAATGCCCCAGGACGTTTAATTTACTTTCACTTGCCATCTTAATGTCTCCAACAGTGTCTTTTGGAGGCAGCGCGTTACGAATATATATGTATCGCGATATCTCGAGTATCGTAGCGACTGAAACATGAAGTGGACATGTGCAGCACATTCAATTACCTGGAAACACCAAAACCGAGAGATTCAGCTGGGTATCAGGTGAGTCTCTCGCGAAACTAAATTTGCAAATGAGTGTATTTCGCTAACTTCGTGCAATTCGGTCTTAAGTAGAACATAAGGCTGATGGGAGCTTGGGGACTGTGCCTATCTGATGAGCCCCAAGAAGGGCAAAACTGGTCGTGGGCTGTCGATGAGTTTTCAGTAACCTTATGTTTCATAAGGTGAGGTCACCTGAAACGAGGTTTCTAACCAACCTAACATAATAAACCGTCCACAATAAACATATGAACAATTTACGCACCTCTACGTGCGAGAGATCAACATCGCAACTGAAACACTCAAGGAGGACCGAATAGTGGATTAAAAAACGAAGAAACAAGGAACTCCTCGGAATCAAATCAATAAAGGTCACAACGGAACTCGGTAGGACAAAGGTCAATCCAACACCGACCAGACTACGACGGCGAGGGGTGCAAATTCCAAGGTCACGTGGGCATCGGCGAATGAGGACACGGGATAAAAGAACAGCCAATGGAACCGCCCGACAGAATAACTAAGCGCGGTCAAAGGTCATCCCCGGCTACCAGCTCGTATATCAACGCACACGTAACACTACTGAACGCACAACCACTAACCCACCGCTACGCACAACTACGCACTGATGATGTCACCTCGATTGGTGATGAAACGTTTGCAACCAAATTGCCCAGCTCAGCGAACAAGCCAACGTCCATCTACGCTACCTGAGCTACCGATATTCTCCTCTATAGAAAACATATGAACAATGATTGACGAAAGAGTTTGCCTACATCTAAGTACCTGCGAGTCAGCTCAGTTGGGCCAATTAAGTAATGAACCCTACAAAATACTTAGCAAGGTCAGAGTGCAGCAAGATGCCACGGTTACCAATAAAGTCTTTTCCTTGCTGGACCGATGTCGGTTATAAACGACACCGTTTACTTAACCCTGCCATATCCGGTTTGATCTTCGGACCGTGAGACTGTCACCTGGGGCATCCTTTCTACTCTAATCAAGTGTCAAAATCAACTCGAATGATTTGTCAGTGGCACCCTTTCGAAGCCTATTTGTCAATCGACACATGGTAGCGCAAGAATACAGATACCATTAGGTTGCCCACTCTTGAAAAACATTTTCTGAATAGGTTCAGAAGTCGCTTCCCATGTCAAAGGCGAGTTCACCACGGTGCATGAGTGGTGAACTGCAACTGGATCCATCACTATATTCCATTGGCACAGAAGCGGTGTTTACGACGGGAACAAAAGAAAGCTAGCAACGAGGCGAATGTGCCATGGATGTCGAAAAAGAACTAACAATGCAACAACTTTGAGAGCTTGGAATCGACGAATTTTCAACCAACATAAGTTACTGCTTGCCACCGTACCAGAACTGTTTGGGGGGGGGGGTCGTGCATTTGAAGAGAAGACAAACCGTCCTAGCTGCAAAATGTATCGACTACGAAAAGGAAAACCTATATTCGCATTATAATTCTAACCCCCTACTTGTGTCCTTGCCTTCGTTTGCAGTAAGAAACGGCTGGAATTAAGATCGAATTAAGTCACCAAGCTTGGCTTGGCCACATACTGCATATGCCAGTCGACCGACTTCCTCGATTGGTTCTTTTCGCGCAACCCTGTGGAGGGTGGAAACGAACCAGAGGCGGTCAAACAATGACTTTGCAGTGGAGTATGATGGCCATTACCAGCAAAATCAGCTGCGTTGGTCATTGACGTCTTCCTGGATGGGTAGCCCGAGACGGGCCACATCAATCGTTAGAGACATCATCAGACGTCCCAGTCGCGCCCTCAATGGCGCTCGTGCATCCAAGCTATAGCCTTCAATGCATAGCTCCTTTTCCAACCCCCCACCCCACTGACAGTGCTGGATTTACGCACCAATTTATCATCACCCGCCAGCAATGCGCCGCTACCTACCCCCCTCAAATCATCGGTGAACGAAACTGTGGCAGATACAACCACTGTACGACGAGTACGCGGTTATTACAGCTGACAATGATGATGATGACTAAGGTTCTGTTGGAACAACGGCATATTGCCCAACACGGACTCAAAGAGAATCCGTTTTTGTCAATAAACCACAAACGGAGTAGCGTTCACATACGAAGATAGAAACAGAGATGAACATTTAGAGTACAATAGACACTTGCATATCGCTAGAACAGGTCGCAGAGATGCACATCTTCATGTAGCAACACTGCTTTTGGACAAAGCGAGATGAAATAAAATATGGAGGATGGGATGGCCACCAGTAAGACTGTTCCAAAACGACGCTAGCTGAAATCAGCAACAAAAATTCACTACAGTCCGATGTTTGTGCCGGTCTCTTCGATTTTTAACGGGCTCCTGGAAAAGCCGCTCTAATCTGAAGACTTGTAACGGCTTTCCGGTTAGCAAAACTGATATAACCTGGCGTATTGCTGTAAAATTGCAATCGACTGTATACTCGCTGACCAAGACTGTATTGATTAAGACTAGCCTTAAGAAAGAGTGATGGTATTTGTTAGTCCGCAGCTCATTTAGGGTCATTTAAGGTCATGCACTCGTTGCCTGAATTCCGCTCCTGGTCACGCTGGACATCCAGTCAACTGTTAGGTGAAGATAGCATACCCTTAGCAAATATACACTCATTTGCAAACTAATTTGGTTCTTTCGAGAGACTCACCTGGAACCCAGCTGAATCTCTCGTTTCTCCATGACGTTCTCAGGCAAGTGAGTGTGCTGCATGCACCAGGCCGCAGCGTGGGTTCAAAGCGCGTACCAAAGGATGGAATGACTTTGGTCAGTTCATCCAAAAACACTGGCCCCTTCTCTTCCACTTGGAAGACGAGAATGAGGTTGTCTGCATATTCCAGATCTACAAGACTTTTGTCGTAGGCCATTTTGAACTCCGGGGCGTTGGAGCACTTTCAGCGTTTGTCTCATGATCTAATCTATCACGAAGTTAAACAGGAATGGGGAGAGTGAGCATCCCTGACGGACACCGCTTTGTGTACGAAAGCTGTTGGAGAGCTTGCCTTATACTCTCACAGACAATCATATTGTGTTCACGAAGCTCCGGGGCTTTCTTCGAGGGGGAGGGAGGGTAAGCGTCTTAGGAACAGACCTTTCAACCGAGGAGAATATGCCTTGGAAATTCAGAAATACTAGAGTTGCGCGTCACTTATACTCATGGCGTTGTCCTAGCACCTGATGGGATGTGAAGGTTTGGCCAACGCAACCCATACCAAGCCGGAATCCCGCTTACTGCTCTCGAGTCAGTGTTTTACCAGCCACCTTAAGCCGACAAAGCATCAATGAAGCCAACAGTCTCGTTACGATTGGGGTCAAGATGACTCCCGTGTGATTACCGCACTAGCTACGAGCCCGATTTTCAGTTGTCTGGGATGCAGACGAAGAGATCAGACAAGCACTGGCTTAGGACTTCACTCCCATCTTTGAACAATACGGATGAGAGGTCATGGGGACAACAATAATTCAGTGTTTGAGACAACATATGCAGTCATAAGCTTCTGAGTCAATTGGAGATTCCAGGTTCACCGTACATGTTACCAGATCAGCTGTAGGCTCCAGATGAGCGGTAGCTGGGGGCCACAATAACTGTTGTTCGAAGTATTCGACCCAGCGGTCAAGGCGTTCTTCTTTATTCAAGATAGTCGCTCTACTCAGATGCTTGATATTTTCGCTCACAGCTGGTTTACGAGGACCGGCTGCATGGATCGACTGAAATGATTTCGGACATTCTCGATTTTCTGAACTTTTGCCACTTCCTTGGCTTTCCATGTCCACCAGAGTTCATGGCCGACTCGCACGCTCACTTTCACTTGACGTCTGCTATCTCGTCGGGTCAAGGTATGTTCGGGACGGTAGAGGATATTTCTTTGAGATTTGTGCAGTACCACTGTTTAGTCTGATATCCAGTTGATTTAGTGGTTTGGTAGCGTCGTGCCACAAGCAAAGTGTTGGCAACATCGTCCCAGTATGAGTTGACATCTGATGTTTAAGTATTTGGAAGGCACTATGGAAGACGATTCTGGTAAGTTCCTCTGACACTTTGAGGTAGGTTGGCGACGTCCTCCTGATCGACGACCGATCACTGAAGCGCCTCCGTGAATTTTTGTAATTGAAAGTTTGTCGTACACCCAACAGCGGTCACTCCCTTGTTCCTTCAACCAACTTCACCGAATTCGTCCAGTATATGCGTGCTCACCAGATCACGCATCACAAACAACTCTTCTCCTTGCAACTTTTGACCGACATCATGTACACTGAAATTTCCTATCCATTTTGTTCACGCAGCTACCACCTGCGTCACTTGGCATGATCACAACCTTCAACCACATCAGGTCAAGTTGTATCCACATTTGTGCAACTGTCAAACAAGAAGGACACCCCTTTTCTCATTGCACGCAATAAATAGGCATGGAACTCGGCCCAAAACACACACGGGACAGGAAGTCAACCGAGCTCCACTGGTCCCCACGGACAACCACGTGTAGCAGGTATACTGCACAGAAAACACTTTCCGCGTCCTGAACCTCACTTCATTCAGGAACTCTGAGCAGCTGTCTTCAACCCATAAGTCACATTTTGAATTATTCCAATTTTCGCACTGTATTTATTTCTTTTATCAAGGTTCACCTAATTATTGCCATAGTCGTCATTCTTATAAAGCGGACATTTGTTTGACGCCTGAATATTGAGTTAATTATGTTACAACCAGAGCACTAACGGAGGTCAAACTGCACCAACCAGTGGGCCCGATTTCATCCTAGAAATCTAACCCTGTTTCGTGTTCACTTTGATTGAACTGCGGCTACTGTGGCATCATCGGTAGAAGAATGCTGTGACGAACAATAGGCTGGATAACCCAGAGAATTTTTACCAGCACTTAGACGAAGGATGAACCAAAGTTTCACCAAATTCCTGTAATACATTTCCAATGCTAAAAAGCACAATAAAACCTAACTATACAAGAAATACCTCTTTCCCCCATCTTCCTCAGTTAAGTGGCACTGTGTACGAATTTTCATGGCACTGAACGCCAATTTTGTTACCATTTTGAATCCATTTTCAAAGTCCCTGCCTCAATTTCAACAACACTTGATTCAGCAAATCTGTCTCTATCTAGGACTTGTTCGCCTCCTGTTTTCATCTTTTTATAACAAACTTTTCTGGCCCTCTCATTTTAAATACGTTCCGACTCCGTCCCCCAGGAAATTCAGATTGTTGTTTCGTTTTCGGAAGTTTCCCTTCTCTCTCTCCTCTCTTCCTCTATCAAGTGGTCCAATTTTACAAACAGCAGGCTCACTACAACACGGAATTATGTTTCCATAGCTGAGGGTTGTTCTATGTACCTTTCACCACTGGACTTAGTTCAAATAAAATTTATGCGTCCCATAGTTTTCTTACTTTGACCGATTATCTTTTACCCATTCCCCGCCCTTGCGAAGCAACTTGCCGTTATTTGTTCCACTTTAGCTTCCACAGCACGAGTCCACCCAAAGAATAAACTTCAGTTCAACTTTCCAAGACATTCGTTCCTGTAAATCTTTCGTTCACATCTAGCCGGTCCCATCGAGTAGAGCGTTCTATTTATCGCAATTAAATCTTCCATTTGTAGCTTCCTCAGCATCCAACAAACTCTGAACACTTCGCTGGTCTCCACCGTCCCAGATCCATTGAATCCTAATATTAAATCAACGCTCAGCTCCAGTACCCCTTCGGTGCGTAGCTGTCAGACTAATTTACAGCAGAATGGAGGCTGAGGTACTTCCACGGTTTCCAAGCCAAGAAAAGGACAATCGGAAAGCCGGAACCGGGGACGAATTGCGAGTTTTCAGGTCGGTTCTCACACACTTTGATAGCTGAGCTATTTCTAGATCTCAGTCATTCAAAACTTGAATTAGTGCTCAGTTTATCAAGTTGTTTGAGGATACTGTACGTGGATCGATCGCCTTTTGTTCTCGCAACGGTTTTCCTGTGGTTTTATGCTTTATTGCTTTATGGTTGTATTATCTTTCTGTGCAGTCACAGACTAAGGATTTTTTCCCGTAATCCATCCGATGCCTGACGAAAGCAGAAACGGCAACTTTGAGATTCACAACTCCTTCAACTTACTGGAGGATTACGGGTACGACCACATCGGAAGAGAGTGACAATATACGTGGACAAGGACGTAAAAAGAAAGTTTTTTGAATTATGGACAACTTTCAGTATGTCTCAGGATGCCCTTTGGGGAGGTGGTGCGCCCATAAAGGGAGTCAATTTCGTAGAAACGAACGAAGAACTAGTTCATTACGCGAGGGCAGGAAGATAGCCAAGCAAAAGAAGATGCAAGACATTGTGTACACTTCATTCGAGACATCTGAAAACATGACACGGAAATGTCTCCTAGCAGCTTGGGAAGAATTCAAAAGTGCACGTATTTTCCCTCATGAATAATGATTTATCAAAAGACCTGACTATTCCTGGATACAAAGAATAGCAATAGCATGAAATGACCCGAACAGTTTCGCCACACATTTGGCATGCTCTTCACACAATAGTGTTGGCAAAATTGTGCAAGACCTGATCTCTTCTGTAAGATGGTTTTACTCCACTTTCACAGGAAGAACTCATATTTGCACTGACCTCCAGAAACGAAAGTCATAATGGGCTCTGTTCAGTTTTCGGCATTCACGATGCAACAATTGCAAGAATTTAGGTGCCAAGACGCAGCTTCAAAACGCTAGCGTTCACTTTGTGTTCCCCTTTGGTACAAAATTCCGGCAAGGTTGGACATTTACATCTGACGCTCGGTTCCTGGGGCTAGTGATCATTAAGTCTGAAACATGTTCATTTAACTGGTTCCATACCATGAAATGCACAGGCACCAAAAACTAATGCAAAGACCCCAAAACAGTGGGGTGGGTTCGACATTTCACGGCAGGAAAATGGTTTATGGATGGCAAGGCGCTGTCTTGCCAGCGGATGATTTGAGCAGCTGCTAAAGAAAAACTAATGCAAAGACCCTGAAACGGTGGGGTGGGTTCGACATTTCACGGCAGAAAAATGATTTATGGATGACAAGGTGCTGTTCTGCCAGCGGATGATTTGAGCAGCTGCTAAACCATAAACAGCACATCACTTTTTGTGTAGACTGGCAAACACGATCCATACCGGGGATATTCATCAGTTCGAGCTATTACCCATCAATGATTTCCTCACAGTTGAAAAACGGTCATCAGCAATGTGAGACAATGCCTATGATTTGGTGCGGACCTTTCGGTTTTACCCTATCTGAGATGCAGCGATTCCGTGCAAGGACAAATGAGCAATATTATTGGAGTATCGTGATACTGCTGTCTAGTGTATCATTTGTTTTCATTTCATTGTCGCTAAGTTTTAACAAGTAATGTTCTTCTAGCTGTACCAGCCTTCTTCGTTACCAACACAAAATAACACGTCAGAATTCGCACCAAAGACACCTTACCTTAGGGAGCCTGTTACTAGGTTCCATTTCAAAATTATCACTCCAATCCAGTCAAACATGTTGAGGATTATATTATAACCTGTTTTTTTTTGTAGAATAACAAATGCATGGACAGTCGTTGGCACAAGAAAACAGCTAAACAGGATGGCATTTACGATACAACTTAGGTAAGTTCAAAAGAAAATCGGTGTCTCGCGTTGTTTGAAAAAAAAACTCCCAAACCATGAGCGATCTATGCACTTCTCACGGTTGGGTCCCACAGCGAGTTGACTGTCTGCGGCCGATTTCCTACTGACTGGGGGAAAAAGCACGACGCACCGTGTCCGGTAGGATTTCATTCACTGCGACAGGAAACAAACTGTATAACAGTCAACTGACCGTTAATCGAAAACCGATATGTGCCTTTTGCTTAGTGGTGAACCGAATCGGGTTTGATCGTGACAGTATCATCAAGATGAATATTTCTGCTTCAGTCTTTAATCTGTCTAGTGGGTGTCATATAGATTACCACTTCCAGCTACTGATTACTTAACAGTAGGCACAGTAAGCCCACGCGACTTCACAAACACCTAGCTACGAAGGGGTAAAACTGTTGTACGTCTCAAGGATAGGAAGATTAAGTGATTTTTTCGGCCACTGGTTGATTCAGGCACGGTATTCATCAAGGAAATGTGTGAAAACAGTTAGTGAGACCACAATCCTCATTGGGTGGGGCAGATTGTTAATTTCATGTGCATATATGAGTTTTCCTACCGGCAACACGGTATGGCAAACTCACGAAATCTACGCGTGTCAGTTTTTCTCATCTCACCTTCGGCCGTTTGAATTATTGTCCAAGTTATCACAAATTGTGATCAATCAAAAAGTGCCAGAGCTAAGCATCCTCATAGGTGTGAAATTTCCAACAGATAGAGAACAAAAACGCATATTAGCTTGTTACGTCAAATGAGTTACCCGCGCAAGCTACTTTACGAGTGGTCAGGTTAAAGGTCAAAACGGATGTCCTGATTTTCTACGCGCATGGTCTGATGAGGCATTCCTAAAACGCGCACCATCTGAGTGCATACCCTAACTCAGCGCAACATTCCATTGGCGATAAACGCAGACAAACGCGTTGATTCACGTTTTGTTTTCATTCAAAGTTGCGTTGTCAACAAGCAGTCTTCAATAGGATTCCGTTGACAAAGTATTCACAACTAGGTGACCTTGACGAAACACGTAGTACAGGTTGGTGAGACGTACATTGAATGGCTATTTAAGTTCAGCGTAGAATGAACCTGCGATCGCAATTGTTCCGTGTGACGTTGTCCGTAACAGCACTCTAGGCTTAACATAACAAAATGTACATATTTCCTATTGGTATCATTCGCACCTATGCATGTGGAATCAAATGGAACACGGTATAATACAATACTGTGCGCAACAAAACACATCGCAGTAAAGTATAGTAGTTAAGTATAGAATAATGGTAATAGTAATAATAATAATAGTAAGTTGTAAATTAGTGGGAATAGATGTAATTAGCCAAAATCTTTACATACTTTGGGATTCATCTCATCAGAATGGCACTGTCCTTGGCATGGTTTCGACTGAGACGTCTCTCTCTTTTCTCCCATGTTCTCCTGTTACTCTTTCGCATTCATCGCTTGCATTCACTTTTTATGTTTGTGATCATGCTTTTCAAAAATAAACGATAATGGTAAAATGGTGGAGCTTGAGCAAGCTTCCACTACCACCTTGCAGACCGAGCTATTTCACTTGCGATAAGAAAAATGGGTTTACTGGCAGAGACCAAACTACTCTTGGCTCTGCTTTTGTCACTGACGCGCATCTACCCAAGTCAGACCACTGTATCACCAGATTTTCGCACACTGTACTTTCGAATGAGATATTAAACATGTTCGAAAGAGTCAAATTCGAAGGCGTTTTCTGACCATACGTGACTGATCATCTCTTGCATTTGGTGGGGGCCACGTAAATTTAGAAGCTGAAAAGTGGTTCCTCGTTACTTGGAGTTTTGTTTGGACTTGAGTAGTCCGAGGAAATTTTCGTTTCTGAGCCCTAAGTGTTCATACTCAGACGAGTTAAATTAAATGTAGATATAACACCAGATGTTAGACCAAGACTGATGTACGTTCCATTCCGATCAAGTCAGTAGTATTGAGGCTTCTATCATGTGCGCAAAATTTCTTTTACGTTCCAGTTGTGGGAATACATGGCAATCGTTTCGGCCAAGAAAATACATACCGCGACTGCCACAGATTTCGACCAACCCAGCAGCGCTTTTGCCACAATGGCAGAATGCCACCCATTCGGCCACGTCCACGCCTCCAGAGGTGCTTAGAAAAAACTGACCTCGAAAGAATAAATTGAGCAGAATGTGCTCAAACAAAGCTAGTGATCCGGAAGAGTTGTCGTGGCTGACGTGGAAGGGCTTCGCCCCAGAAATTGCCGTTCTGTCGTGTCAGAAATTCAGTCGTGTTTCGGAAAATTCCGTATTTCTGCTAAATGAAGAATTACTATAATAAATCTCACTCCTTCACATTACTAAAAATTCATTGTAGTAGGAGGGGATTTGGTCATATTCCGCAGAGATTTCATCCGGTCAGTGAAGTCAATCTATGCTGGGAAAATGGGAAGCACTGCACGGCTTTTTACTCCTTGTTCGGAATCATCAGCAGTACGCAGGCAATCGCGGGTTCAAACCACTCTGAGGTTCGTGAGATGCGCACTGCTGATGGTTCTCAACAAGGATGAAACAATTATACAGTGCTTCTCGTTTTTTTAGCATAGATCGGTTTCATTGACGGGACCAACTCTCTATCCTCTGAGCGCCTCCAGCGATCTAAGTCAATTTTCTCGCATTTGTGGTGTACCACAAATGCGGTGGCATACTCCTGTCTCACAATCCTGAATGGTCTAGACGTCAGAACATACTGTTTTCGGGGATTTTGTAGGGGCTTTGCTTTCACTTATCAACAACTGCTGCATAAAACTAACGTGTCGGACTTCAGAAGGTCCCTTCTTTCGCTCTCATACTACTTTACCGACGGAATGCAGTACATTCTGATTGGTGGAAAGTTGGCGCAAGCTCAAGTCAAACAGTGTGGATTGCCTTGACTAGCTGCCTTTAAACTGCTTCTATTCGTTTTCTTCCCAGACTCTTTGAAAACTGACGAAAAATGCTCCTCGACTGAGTATAAGAATGATGTAGCTATTGACAGAGCCTTCCACACTACTGGAAGCCTACTTATTTCAACCAGACTAGTGTCTGTGAAAACAAGATACCACATTAAAGCTAAACGCACGGTATGCGCCAAGATTGTCTTCCCGATGAGACAGCATATACATTTTGACATTAGCTCAATTATTGTTGCTCCGACCATTACCTACCAGGCTCATTGTACAAGATATCTTGGCATCATAATCCCTTCTAAGTGGAGGTGACGTGAACACCCAGACGAAGTCTCTCTTAAAGTTTGGTGACTGTTCGGAAAGAGAATCAGATGAATCACTCTGACACTCCGATTTTCTCGCAAGATTTCGAGACCTGCGATAATATCTCAATTAAGAAGCTGTTTGGAGCAATGGAAGCATGACTGGTGATGCATCGTGCTTAAACAATGAAGAAAATTCATTTTTCTCGAGCGTTGTCTGGATACAGAACATCAGTACACCCCGTTAAAAAGCCATTGTGTTCAAAACATATGACGGTGCCCAGTGTGGCTGACAGAACCCAAAGTGATAATGCACGTAATTACAAATACATCCGTAAACTACATGTGGTCGTATCTATTGAGACTTTTCAGCACACTAGTGCCAACGACAAGTAAGACCAGGGATTCTTAGATGTTTCAAGAGAAATCCAAAGATTGTTTATCTGACTTTAGAATTATGAAAAAATTTCTTCACGCGTTGGAACACTTGAAACACATAAGCTGCGTAGCATGGCAGGATCTTGGGCGTTTTACTTTATGTAGACACAATGGATTAGGAAAGTAAACTGTGGAATAAGAACTGTGAAGAGAGTGTATTGTTTTGCGATTTTTGTACTTTTCACCAGTACGTTTCCCGAGTTCTTGAAGACAATTCTTCTAAGTAGACTCTGCCAGTATGCACAGCTAGGACTACCATCAAGCTTGTTTCTCATCTAAAAGGAATTTGAAGCAGCAGGGTCTTGCCCGGCCAATATTCTAAATGCAGCTCAGACTACTTATTGTAAAATAAAGTAGTATGTATTCGAAACGCGAATATTCCATCCTGTCAAAAACTTCCAGTATTCACCAAAGTGGCAACTGAGAAAGCATCAATAGTTCCAAGTGTGAAATTCAACCCAGTCTTCAGGTCTAATGAATTGCGACGATCTGTGTGTACCGAAAACAAGAAGTAGTTTTGATGAACGAATTCGGCGCAAGCATGCCACTTTTCTTCCATATCGTCTCCACCTTGTTCAAAGCCAAGACATTAAATGCGATTGCCAATCTGCTCTTAGGGAAGGCTGGATTTGTTCACTTTAACAGGCAAAGCACGAACCGAATCAGAGACATCGCAAATGAGAGATTCAGCTGAGTCCTAGGTGAGTCTCTCGCAAAACCAAATTAATCTGCAAATGAGTGTATATTCGCTAATTTCGTGCAATTTGGTTTCAAGTAAAACATAAGGTTGACGGAAACCCGGGGACTGCGCCTACCTGATGAGCCCCTAGAGGAGCAAAACCGGCCGTGGGCTGTCGATGGATTTTCAGCAACCTTATGAGCAGTACATTACAAATATACATGTATGGCGATATTTCAAATATCGTAGCGACTGAAACGTGAGGCGGCCTGATGCAGCACATTCAGTCGCCTGAGAACATCATAAACGAGAGATTCAGCTGGGTTCCAGGTGAGTCTCTCGAAAGAACCAAATTAGTTTGCAAATGAGTGTATATTCGCTAATTTCGTGCAATTTGGTTTCAAGTAAAACATAAGGTTGACGGAAACCCGGGGACTGCGCCTACCTGATGAGCCCCTAGAGGAGCAAAACCGGCCGTGGGCTGTCGATGGATTTTCAGCAACCTTATGAGCAGTACATTACAAATATACATGTATGGCGATATTTCAAATATCGTAGCGACTGAAACGTGAGGCGGCCTGATGCAGCACATTCAGTCGCCTGAGAACATCATAAACGAGAGATTCAGCTGGGTTCCAGGTGAGTCTCTCGAAAGAACCAAATTAGTTTGCAAATGAGTGTATATTCGCTAATTTCGTGCAATCTGGTTTGAAGTAGAACATAAGGTTGACGGGAACTCGGAGACTGCGCCTACCTGATGAGCCCCAAGAAGGGAAAAACCGGTCATGGGCTGTCGAGGAATTTCCAGCAACCTTATGAGTCGTGTATTAGGAAATATCCAAATTCTTGCAGTAGGTGGGAAACAGCTAAACAGCTTCACAAATTTTCAGCCGAGTCTTGGGCTGAACTTGTTGTTGGGACTCATTGTAAACCGGGGTTGGACGAGGTAGATTTTTCGCCAAATTCTGTAATCCATAATGGTGCTGTAATAAACATTGCTCAACAGGTGTTTGTTGTGTCCCTGAATAGAAATACGTAACCACTTCAAATGAATTTCCAGGATCATGAGGTAGCCGGCGTCTACGAGGTGCGTGCAAGCTTGTATACAAGAGGTTCCGCTAAGATTCAAGTATGTCAGGTATGTAGAAGACATAATATTATGCGATAATATGTGTGATGTGTTGTGATATTCCGAATATCGTGTGAACTGAAACATGAGGTGACCTAGTGTGGCATATTCAGTTGGAACAAAACAACAAAAGCTGGATTCATCTGAGATTCATGTGACTATCCACTGTTGACATGCAGACGGGTGTGTTCTTCGAATATAGAACATTAAATTGACGGATACCTTGGAAAGACTGCACTCATCTGACGAGAAACATTTGTGAAAGGGGTTGAAACCGATACTGGGCCGCTGAAGAGTTTTCAGCAAGCTTGTGTGCAGTTTCTCTCATTCCGTTTTGACTTTCTGTCACTTTTTGCGTCCAGTGAATGAACTTGTGCACTAGGTTGCTATATTCGTTTAAGATTTGTTCACTTCACGGTGGTATGAATGATCCTTCTCATGTTTTATTATGCTTGCTTATTTAAGTACACTTAGACCTATAGGTGATATTCATTTCCATGTGGTGAAATTCCGGTGTTTTTAATAATGTTTGCGAGACATGAATCCGCAATGTTCATGTCGTGATGATAAAATATCGTGACAGTTTTCCGAAATATCTTATGTCCCATTGCGCATATTGAACTCCTTCAGGGTTTCTGAAGCTTTCATCTGGTTAACATTCCAGACTTTAGACAGGATGCAGAGTTTCATGCAGAAGTTACTCAAGGTGACCAACCTGTAAGGGCATGAGTTGGGGGTTGTAAGCAGGATACACGGACAACCTTTTTCAAACACCTTTACTGTTAAATATCAGTTATAATCACATAGATAGTCACAGCTTCAGAATTCGACAAATTTGTGTTTTATTACACTGTATCTCAGAATTCGGGCTAAAAGAAAGTAAAATATATAGAAAAATTTGGCTTTCGATCGGGTAAAAGTAAAGGTGTCGGCAATAAGTGCCTTGGTTATTAGAGTAATTTCTCTGTCGAGATGTGACACACTTATGTAATGGCTGCCCAAAATATCTTTGCTCAATCTTCAGCTGCAGGCACTCTGTTTTAAGGAGACTCTTCTTGGAAGATGAATTACTTTTTAGCCAGTGTAGTTGGTATCAGAAACGGGGACCCTGCTTTGAGGGGGATGTTTCTGCCCAACGCAGACTATGTTTATGTTTGTTTTACTCGTATATAGTAAAAACCAGTGGTCTTTGGTGTTTAAATTCACGATTTCGGTAGAACAACCCGGAAGTGAAATGATAAATTTTCTGAGACCAATCTTTACAATCCCTTCTGTTCCTCTTTTTCAGGTGACATTTCGGGTGACATGACGAATGCCATCCATTTTGAAGGGTGTGCATGCTGTCCTAGAATTACAAGACATGGTAGGGCTGACTCTTGAATTGCGTGATTCTTTACTCACTGATTTTAACTTGCACTGATTGTTTTTCGTTGAACATGAAAAAGACGTTCGTTTTTACCATACATTTTGGTTTTGGAGTAAGCTAAAGCATTTCCTCTGAATTTATGGTGCGACACTCAAAACAAGGTAGTTTATCTGCAGCCAAAATAAACATTAAGCACTGTTTACAGTGCATGCCAGACGACTTTCGTGGTTGATAAGATAAAATTTGTAAACGAATTTGCGTGTACTTTTAACTCGTTCTCCCTGACCATAACAAACAAATCTTTGCCAAGCCATCATCTTTCAAAGAACGTTTTGCCTCCTGTGAACCAGATATACTCTGGGCATAGCAAAAAACAGTTTTTATTCATTTTATTTAATCGCATTTTAATCGCAATGAATGAGGCGGTTTTTAAGAATTTGGTCCACATTACTGATCCAAATCACTTTCAATGTTGTTCTTTTGACAAAACTAATTAAAAGAAACATTGTTTGCAAGTTAACATAAACTAGAATGATACGTCGTAAAAGAACCTTCTTGAAGAATTGAAGTCAAAGTACAGAAACAATCTCAGTTGCGCCGAAGAAAATACAATTCACGAAGTTGACAAGTTTTGCAGTTAAGATGCCGGTTTTATTCCGTTCATTCTGTATTACGAAAGTTCACAATTTAAGCATATGATTTACAGTTGCCCACCCTGTGATAAATACGCGAACGAATACAATGTATTGTTTCGAGTACTTTCTAACATGCTCCCGGATTCTTTTAACTTCAGATGTATGCGACAATTTCATTATTTTTGCATGCCTGGGGCTAACGCAATGATCCGTAGAAACTTGTTTTTAGAGCAAGCTTGTCATTTGAACACTTGCCTGCTGTTGACTCGCTTACAAAGACTAGTTGCTTTGAAGTGGTCAAGAACTTCTTTATACTTGTTCACCGGCCCTTGCAAAAGATAGTATGATCGCTTTTCATTTTGTGGACTTAGAAATCGACCGAATATTGCAGTAGAATCACAGCTTTCTTCCCATAGTTTCAAGCTCCCTTTACTCACTGGGGACTCATGTGTTCTCAGACTTGACATGTCAAAAGAATCACTGGTTAGAATTTACAGGATATTAAACTCAGTAGTATTCACCTGACATCTAATAACTGTGGAACTCAGTAATGCGATCAAACTTTACAGGTGGACTCAACGTAATTTGGCACTAATCAGCTTTCTGAAAAACTCTACTCCAAAAAAGGATAGATAATTTCCTGTCAACAGTTGCATGTTCTACACTGGTCAATGTAGAATTAAACTTATTACTTGTCTGTTGATGCAGAATCGAGCACACTCGTTTGGCAGTGTACACGTTAGAATAAAACTGAATTATATACAAGGGTTAACATGAAAAGCTTGGGCGGGGACAATATAAAAAACAATCCCTCAAAAGTTTCTCTAGGCTATCGCCTATATTAGATAAGGTTATTTTCTGTTGCGTATTCATATGGTGTTTGTAAACAGTTTTGAGAACATGTAGAACTGAGGATGTAAGCAAGTTTAGTGTACTGAGCGAGGACAGTTTCTCTAGGCTATCGCCTATATTGGATAAGGTTATTTTTGTTGTTGTGTATTCCTATTGGTGTTAGTTCCAGTTTGTAAACAGTATTGAGAACATGTAGACCTGAGGATGTAAGCAAGTTTAGTGTACTGATTTGGCTGGATAATTCCTCGGTCTTAGTCCATGGCCTAGCTAGACAGGGCGAATTTGTTCAGGAACAGCCTCACATGCGACAACTAGTTGCTCCAGCCTTACTGTTTGGGAAAGCTGCACGCATGCGGTTGCTCAGGTGGTATTGTGAATAGAAGATCCTAGAGCACGCTGATAACGGTCTGCGAATGGGCTACTTTAAAGAAACATTGTTTTCGGTGCAGAATGGTAACTCGACGATCAGTGCCTCTCCAGTAGCTATCATGGTACTGAATTTCTGTATGAATCCTACTGTAATTTGATTCCGTGGCATAAAACGTATTTGCTTATGGAAGCTAAGACAGCAGCAGCTAACCATCACTGTGTGGAGGAAACTACTCATAAGTTTGTATAAAACTGCCAACGTCCAGTTTCCTACCACCACCTTGAGGCCCATCCTTTAGTCAGTTTACCCGACTTACTGTCAATCTTATACTCCTCTTGAATTCAAATGGTGTGGAATTCGTCAAATACACTTATCTGTGAATCAATTTTGTTTTAACCGAAATATCAACTGAATCACAGCCTAATTCGTTTTTTTTATGATATTCTTCGGATGGATATCCTACCCCGTAATACTTCAGTAGGTTAGATATTCCAGATATCCCATGATGCACGTGAATAGTGATCTTGATTTAAAAACCTGTGTCATCCTCTTAGATGTCCGTCGTGGCTTTATTTACTTAGCATTGGTTGGATTTGCTGTAAACATGTCTAGCATTCGAAAGTGACCACCTATGCTTCTGCAACCCTCACACGTGAAAGGTAAATAGAATTAGTAGGAATTGGGAACCTACAATGCACACTCGTCTTTTTGTTCGATAATACACCAACCACAAAAGAACAAGCATTCTTTGAAGTCATCGCACTACTCATGAGTAAGTATGCATATTCCTCCGAAGTCGTCTGTTGCTATCAAATGCCAATGGAAAACTAACGGTCCTGGTCAATTCTTACCACAGCAATGGTATTCCATGATAAAATCAAATATTCGGCAGTCAAATGAGTGCTTCTCCATCCAGGTGGATGGTTTTTAC